CACTCTAAATCCCCAGATCGCACTAGATCGACTTCAGTACCCTTTATACCAAAACCTTAAACTTTAGCTTTAAAATAACCCCGAGTAGTTTATCTAGCAGTCATCACCGTCTTAAACACAAACTACGTAGGGAGTCGAGGAATATAAGTGAATGATCCCGTGTATTTGAAAAATATATGCTTTACCGTAAGAAAATAGGGAATGCACCAATTAAGTTAGGCAACCTTCAAACGATCGCTTAATTCAACAGATGCAGTACCTACGTGATATAACATAAAAAAACCATTGTCAGTTGGTTCAGAGGTGTCTGGTACTGAACTTGGTAGGGTAGACTACAGTCTGATCCACACAACTTGCAATTTGGTGAATTAAAGGAAGTTACCGAATTCATGTTCCAGAACCTCATGCTTAAAAGGATCATAGTCACTAACTGGTTACTCTACTATTTGTGTGTGAAGATAAAAGGCTTAGTGTGATTGTGCTAGAATGAAAACGACTAAAATTTAGCGAAAAGAATTAGGTTGAGCTATAATGGCATGACTGGAATTGGTCTGCACAATAAGGGGATGTTTAGTGTCATGTTAAGCTTACGTTTCTTCAAAAACTTAGGCATCCTCTTATGATTCGAATTGTGTCATGAAATTGAATTTAACTTGTGCCTTATTAGTTTTATACTAATTTTATTGCTTGAGGACAAGCAATGGTTCAAGCTTAGGGGAGTTTGATGACACGAAAAGATATAGCATTTTCCGTCTGAATTACATAGATTAAATTTCTGATTCTTTGATTATTATGTCACATTTTATCCCTTTTTGTACTTTTTGAATCATATTTAAGGTACTTAGCATTTGTAAGGCATAAATAAGAAAAGGAAGAAAAAGAATGGAAAAATGAAGAAGAAATGGCTTTAAAACAGCAAAAATGCAGTTCTGTAGCAGGGAAGTGTGCTGCCTGCCACAAAGGCGTTACGACTGGCACATGTTAAGTTTATGTGCCCCTCGGCTACTCACGTACGACCGGGAGAAATATGGATTACATGCCACGATCCAAGCAGTTACGAAGTCTTCGCTACTGGAGCATACTAAGCGCACGCCACCTGGATTTTCTCCGCGCATGAAGAACGTGAATCATGGAAATTACCTAATTTTCCTCAACAAAAATGGACTCTATAAAAAGAAGCAGTTACCAACTTTCACGCTTTGGCTCCCTCTCGCCTACACCTTGAACGAAAATTGTTACGAAGTTTACTTTTCTGCTGAACATTATTTTTATTGTATTCTGCTTTTGATTCTTTCGAGTTTTAGAATTCCAGTACTAATTTTCCAGTTGTAGAACCACCTAGGCAATAAAATCCTCACCGTCAGAGACGTATTTTTCCACATCGTAGAAATACTGCAACACTAATTTGTTTCCAGACCTCCAGAATTTGTTTAGGATTACTTTGATTTTATTTGAGCTATTTTTACTTAAAGTCAATCCTACCGGCTTGTGGAGGACACACACATTATTGGAATTAACCTCTTTCTTATTCACTTTCAGGTTCTTATTTTATTAAGCATAATTTATTTATTTTCTACCATGCATGCATTGTCGAATTTACATTTTAATTTTATAATACTCTGCAACAATATTATGTCTGGCTAGATTCCCTGTACCGGTATGTAAAACCTGACTGAAAGGATTCAGTAATTAATTGGAATTATTATTTTTAGAAAAAATAATACTTTTCTGGTTTTAATTTCCAATTGAATATTTAATTGTTTTTGTACGGAAGTAAGAAACAGTATAAGGTTAAAATCAACAGAGCGTAAGTTTGAGGTTTTAACCAGATAGTGATTATTAAAACATTGATTTTAAAAACAGCGGAAGCGCTTTAAAGTTAATTGGACCTTTTTCGTTTTCAAAAAGTACTTTTGAGTTTGAAATGAAATAGCGGAAGCGCTAATTTCGAACTTAATTTATATGATCTGATTCAATAGACCGGAAGTTTGAGACGAAGGTTTTTAAACGAATAGTTTCATCGAAACTGTGTTTTAATACTAAAAACAAATGTCAGTGACTTACTGAATCTCATAAGTTAACGATATACATACCGGTATCCCGTCATTAATTACTAGATTTTAGTTAATTCATGATTAAACCCAAACTCCCAAATTTTATAATTAGCCTCAGCTTTACATAGTAAACTTTAGATAACAATAGTTCTGACCATCAGTCCTTGTCGGTTCGATATCTTTTAAAACCACTCGATAGACTATGCACATGCAGTCACTACACCCGATAGACTTACAAAGTCGCGATCATTTATATGATTTATAGGTCGTACTTGATGTTAGGTGCTTAAATGACGAATTATTGAATGTTGATTTAAGCCTTTGTGTGGTAAATGATGTAGTTGTGCGATGAAATTATGAAGTGTTTATTATGTTGGGGGACATCATATTCTAAATTATGTTGTGTCCTCGTTTCCTATGGGGATGGTTCGAGTGCAATTGTTTATGTTGAGATCATTAAGTTGATGATGTCATTGTTGCATGAATGAGAGTCCATGCGTCCGTGTTGAGGATCTTTAAGTTCTAAATTATGTTAAAACCTCATTTCCTATGGTGATGGTTCGAGTGCGAGTAGTTAATTTCTTTGTCGGGGAATTAGTCAAGTGTTACCTATAGTGATGGTAATGATTTATTGTGCTTCGATTCAAGAGGAACCAAGATCCTATGGTGTTGGATCCTGATCCTATGGTGGTGGTTCAGGGTGCGAAATGAACCTGTGCGTTCATGGTCTTGTTGGTGTGGCGTTGCATAATATTGTTGATGATGTGTGATGTGTTGATTATTGAGAAGTTGTGTAACTATGTAATTGATTCTTATGATGAAATTTGTATAAGTGATATTTATTACGTGTGGGGTGTGAGTTTATGATTCGTTGATGTTTTGGTTGGTTGTGTATTAATATTGCAATCTATTTTTTTTTTTTATGTTGTTTATAATTGATTATGATTACTCACTCCTTTTATTTTAATGTTACCTCCACGTGGATAACGTGCAGATACTCAGGAATAGATTACGTGAAAGTAAGTGGAAGTTAGCCATTGGAGACTCTATTTAGTTTATCGATTTATATAGTGGACTTCTGCTCTGATTCATGTAACACCATATTGGAGTTGGCGTTTTATTTTAAACTATTATGTTGTTTATTTTAGAGTCAAAAGAGAGATAATAGAGTTAGTGGATTAATATTTTTTAATTAAAATAAAAATAAATTAATATTGATTATTACTAAATTAATTTTAGTTTTGACTCAAATTTTTTTAAATATATATATATATATATATATATATATATATATATATATATATATATATATATATATATATATATATATATATATATATATATATATATATATATATATATATATATATATATATATATAGTTTGATCCATATAAATTTAATAGAATAAGGTTGTATGGTTGTTGAGGCCTAACCAAATTTTAGGAAAGGCTCCAAAAAGAATATATTGAGAAAGGTGTTGTAAGAAAGTTGATTTGGAGCTTAAGTAGCCAGGTACAGTGCTAATTCTCTTTTGGAGAATTTAAGGTGGGGTTGTGAAAACTTGAGCATAATTAAAAAGGGAAATAAATGATAAACGGTTGTAAGGGCTAGGACAAAAATTCTGATTTTCTGCTTTTCAACGAATTATCTTTCACCTCTATGCGTTATGCAAGTGGGTTCCAAATGTGCCCCTTCATTATCTCTTTGAGAAAGATTATTTTTGGTATTTCAAAAAAGAAAAGAAAAAGATTATTTCTGCATGATAGATACTCGTATGGGTGATGGGAGAGACCGTGACCCTCTTTCTCAAGTCCAACAAATCCGACCTTTCAAGAAGAAAGTTCAAACTTTGTACTTTATGACATTTTTCCTCCGGAATTTATATTCTTGTATATCATAAAAAATGTTTCTCTTCAGGCCACTATTCCTTTCCACAACCCCATTCAGACTTAACAATCTCAACCATTAGTTCATTGTATTACGTGGCTTTGTTTATTTATATGTAAATGGAGGTATTTGAAAACAACTTTTAAATTGACTTAATAATATATATATATATATATATATATATATATATATATATATATATATATATATATATATATATATATATATATATATATATATATATATATATATATATATATATATATATATATATATATATATATATATATATATATATATATATATATATATATATATATATATATACAAGTAATGATTCACGGATCAAACCACTGAGTTATTGGCCGAATCGTATAATTAACTCGAATAAATTAGTTGAATAAATCGATCTTTACAACTAAATATATGATTATTAAATCAGTCGATCCGTGGTCTTTAAAAATGTCACAACACCTACAAAATTTTAAAATATCATAATTTAACAATTTCACTTTTTCAAATTCCAAATATAGTCATCACACATAACAAAATAATACTAAATGTAAATCTAAATAAATTTTGAGCAAAGTTTAATTGCAACATAAATTGAACAACAAAATAGCTTGTCTAGTAAATTTAATCTATCATATAAGAAAATTTTGGTATCCGGAAATAACCATTCTATCCCTTTCCCAATGTGCTCCATGTTGAGTACTTTGCACAATAAACGGTCTTTCAATACCCTCGTCTTAACAATTGAACCGCTATTTGTGAGCTAACTATATCCGTCTCACACATCCCCCCACTGTTTCTCTCTATGCTGACTATTTGGTTCATGACCAGCTTCTGTTTATGACTGGTATCATACACAATAGTCTGTTTTATGCACGCTTTACAAAGTGTCTAATTCAAACTGATACTTTGCTTATACAATCCAACTCTTTTCTAACATACTTTTCATCTCTACCAAATACATATTCCTGTCATAAGTCATCGTTTCTGTTTCTCACAACCCGATATTCATAAGTTACGATTTCCTTAAGCTCCCACCACGGACATGGCGAGACCTTTTGAGATGATAAGCGATATAAATGACCGCAACGAGTTGTGGGAGATTGCTGTCAAAAAACATCACAAATGGATGGTAACGACGGCTCCGAAGGAGCATTTTGAGATGGTTGTGGTAAAAAAAAATGCGAGTTACACCTCTTCGTATGATGTCTTTGTAAATATTGTTGTTTATGGGTAGATATCCGCTGATGTACCGATGTTCATATTCATTCGTAGTATCCATTCATTATTATGTGTTTTGAGTGCGATTTTAACAACACTTTTAGGTCAAAACTAATATAACCGTGTATTCTCATTGTCTTTTGTGTTATTTGTTATTAATGTTATGCTTTTTACATTTGTTAGTAAGTTTTTTCTCAACACACTTTTGTATTCTCAAAGTTTTGGTTTTATTTGTGATAAATGCTACAGTTGGTACCTATGTCAGTGAGTATTTTTTCAAAACACTTTTTGATTATCATTGTTTTGGTTTTATTTAATATGAATGCTAAGCTTCGTGAAGCCTAACAGGTTAATGCACGTGAAATGATTTTTGTAATGTTGTGGTTTGTTTTATTATAAATCGTTATTAAACTCATGTTAAAATTTCATGACCTAGACATTCATGTAGTTGTTCCAACTATCTTCAAGCAAACATTTGACTCTTCTTTGTCGGTTAACATGACTTGTATGATGTCTAGCTTTCAAATTCAGCCCAGTGATTTGATGTTCAAACCAACAAACCACAAGTTTCTCCTTAAATTCACTAGTGGTACAACTATAGGAGATATTGGCAAGCACGATATCACTGATAAGCTGAGCAGCTTAACCCCTTTTGTTGATATAATCTTAGGGAAATGGCAAAGGAATATTCTTTGTGGTATTGTCATTAATCTCATCTCAACCTATGTATCATTTTTGTTGGGAATGTTTGTTTATATTCCCCTGATAATATTATTTTCTATAGATGTTATTGGTGTCATTGACGATGTAGGCTACACACAGTTGCACGCAGGAGGGAAAAACCTTAGGTCAACTTGGTGTTGCACGGTTTGGGGTATGTCTTATACCAAACTAAATTATTAAAGGTCCTTCATTGTTAAAGGTCACTATTTTTTATCACCCTACATTTTTTACAATCACTAATTATCTCTCTTTCATTTCTTAGAGATAACACTTTAAGTTGTACACTATGGGAAGCCTATGCAATGGAGTTCTTAAAGTACAAACAAAAACTAGTTGATTATACTAAACCAACTGTCATTCTCCTCAAATATGCTAATGTGAAGGAACAAGGTTATCACAAAATTCACTTTTATATTTTGTCCTTGTATTTACTCTACTTAATCCCTTTTGTTTGTATGCTTCTTTGAATTTATATACGTTTATTTGTAGGTAAATTTCCCCTTGTTGTGACAAGCACCTACAATGTCACAAATATACACATCAACAAAGATATGCCCAACATAAATGATTTTATAAAACGGTACACACCCAACTATATGAAATATAAATGACTATGTTATCATTTGTGTATTTTCATATCTGTTGCTTTGAACATGTTATACTACTGAACTTCTACAGCTTGCCTAAGGAATCTAGCTTTGGAAAGTCATTAAGTACCACTAACACCCACACTCGAGGGTGGTCACAGCAATCTTCCAGATCATAAATCTCTACCATAGAAATGTTTTTGGATAAATCTATTCAGATTAGACTTGATGAAATAATCCAATTGGGTGAGGTTGATAACATTGCTATTTTTTCTTCAATATCTTACTTTTAACAATTGGTTTCATAGCATTATCTATTATGTCATTTACGTGCAGCCTACTTTCTGCATAACCGTTTCTACAATCAACAAACTTATTGCATTAGAAAATGGTCGGTACTACAGGGCATGCCACCAGTGTCCTCAGGTTGCTAAGGGAAAAATAGCTCTTTTTTCTGTCGAGATGGACACCATACTGAAGCTAAGATTTGGAGGTGAGCCCTTACCTGTAATTGGATTTCAATTTATTATAGTGTTTTGTTGTACTAATGAGCTTTAGTTTTGTGGCTCCATTGTAGGTATAAGATTTTGATTGAAGTAATTCATGAAAGAAACACTGCAAAATTTATGTTCATGGATCGCGAAGCGGCCGAGGTGTTGGAAACTTCTGCTGCACAACTACGAGCAACTATGATACAAGTTTTTATGGCCTGCTTTATCATTCACTTTGAAATTTTAGTTACATTTTTTTAAACCCCTATAGATTTTATAATCTCCATGTTATTACCATCCTTATTACCATTTGCAATGTAGGCTAGAATCACTTACCCACTTGAGTTTCCTCTTGCGCTTGATCCAATGTTGGGAAAAAAATTGCATTCAAGGTTAAGTGGCACCCGAGATAGAAAATCTCATTCGTCGTCCAGTTTATTAAGGATGACCAGCTAATCGCTCAACTTGAAGGTCCTCTAGAAATAAATTAGGTAATCATCATATGCTTCATTTCTTACAAGGATATCAAATGTTCTTGATAGTGTATATTACAAATGTTTTTCTCTCCTGACAGCCATGCCTACACATTCAAGAGACCCCATATTCCATGCAGGTTCATTTATTTTCTTTAATTCCTTGTGTTTTTTCTCAAAACCATTCAACATTTTTTGTATTTCATAACACACTTTACTCAATCATTAACTGGAAATTCAATTATGCTCACCATTTGCAACATGTCTTTGAGAGTTTTGGCAAGGGCGTAAAATTTTAAAAGCTAACTCCCATATCATTACTTTTTTTATCCCGACTAATAGATTTCATTTTGTAGACACTTTTCATTTCTTCAGCATTATGTCGTTTCCTTCATCCAGGATGATGGTGATATTACATCACCCCATGTTCCCGATCCTTCTACCCCTAAAGCTAATGTGAAGAGGATGTCTCCATATGCTTCCACTGATTCTACTGTCAAATATCTTACCAAAGGGGACTTTTTCCTCAACTAAAGAGAAGAAAGTGACCAAACGGGAAAAAAGCCAACGTCTGATTGTATTATTGGCTTGGTTGTGTTCTATCTTTTTGGGTCCTTAGTACTAATTGAACATCATAAAAAAATTGATATTATTTTGAAACTGGAATACCAGTATGTAATTCCTTTAATATTTTTGGATCTTCTTTTCTCATTCCAGAAACAAGTGGGGTTATATTTTGGATGCTGAAATGAATTACAAAACTATAATTTCGGTTTTGTTTCAATGTAATTTATGTAATCACTACTACAAAACGCACAAACAACAACGCTAAAGTCACCACGGTTCTCCCCAAAACCGTGGTGACATCTCTAAACCCAGACCCTAACATTTTATTTTACTTTTTTATTAAAAATTAATAATGGTTGCAGCCATAATCGTAGTTATAAAATCCAAACTTTCTTGGGTTTGATACTTAGTTCCCTCAAATATATTATTCATATAACGTTAAGACGCGTCTTTTCTATTTTATTTATTTTAATATATAAAATAAAGGGTTAAGACCATGGTTGTTAACCTCAACCGTTGTGAGTATACTTATACATAACCGAATTAACTCTCGCTCTTTCACAGTAGCACTGTTATCTATCACAACAAAATCCTAGAACCCATTTTTTCTCTTCTTCTTCATCATTAGCCTTCATATTCTCTGGTATAGTCATCAATCTTGTTCTTCTTACATAAATGTATTCTTATTTTTCCTTATTCTTTTGTTTTCATGTATGTTGTTGTTATGTTTGACTTAGCTTTCCTATGAATTTGTCTTGTTAGATAGTTTATGGCTCTTTTATTGTTGTATGTTGTTCTATATTGTTGTTGCATGTTGACAAATAAGTTTGCGGTTTCACATGTTGATAATTATCATGGTGTTTGTATCCCAAAATTTTACCTCCAATTTTCAAGACAAATTATTTCAGTAGGTCTCTTCATGCTCATGAAGATCTCAAACACTCAAGACTTCTCAAGGGTTGACCAGACAAACTCTCCTCCTAAGCAATTGACCTACAACTAGGGTTTTGCTTCTATCAAAGGAAATTGATTTTCTAATGCCTCAAGTGGATTTCATGGTTTCTCATATGTATCAAGGTACCCTCATACAAAGTTTCAATCCTTACATCATAAGTTTGCTCAGTCAATTAGCCAAATAATTGAAAATCAACTTTATTAGACAAAAAGTCAAATTTGTCCAATCTATAGTAAAACTTCAATATTTTTGGTCAACATTAACATTTTGAAGTCACATTCATCATTTTATCAAGGGTTGATCATGATTCATCAAGAAAACTAAAGATTCATCAAAAGTCAAAAGTTACTAAATTAGGGTTTTCTTAAGGAGAAGTCAACTGAACTTTGACCAAACATATCTTTCACATACTTCATCAGAAACATCTCAACCAAATCTTATCTTGAAGGAAATCCAATTATCTACAACTTTGTCTCTCTAAGCTCAAATCCAAAAATGCTTCATTTGAGAGATATGAGTCAAAACATTACAGGTCATTTTAAAAGTTAACAAAAAGACATTTTTGTCAAAGCAAATTACATAATTGTAAAGGCCTCAAATGAAGAAATGACCAACATGAAAGTTTTAAGAGACATCTTGAGGTTTCCAAAAAGTCCAATATTATCTTCATATGACAAAAATTGAGAGAGTTATGATTGGTGCAAATTGAGCAATTTTGAGAAAATGCATGAAACTCAAATTGAGCAAACTTGAACTTTTGGGCTAATGGGCCTAACTTTTTAAGTTTAAACATGTTTATAACATGTTAGAGGGCCTCTAAGTACATCCATGCATAACCTCTGTTTTTTATTTTATTCACATATTTTTAAAATAAATTAAATAAATTGTCAAGATGTTGGACCAAGGCGTGTAGCTTTTATTTTTAATCATGTTGGCGGCCCAAAAATCTACCTTGAAGCTAAAGAAATTGTGTAGTCTATGTTTGAAACAAATCTTCATTGGTTTTGGAAGATCTCAACTTATTTTAAAACAAAATCAAAGATATGATTTCATGAGATGTCAAAGTCCACCACTTAACGTAAATCACTCTTCTATATATACTTAACACATTCAGACATCAAAAGAACACACATGATGCCTTAAGAACATACCATACAAATCTCAAATTTTCTCAAAACTAGGGCAACTTGAAACCCTTATCTCCAGTCATTATCAATCCATTCCAAGCATTCTATCACACTCCTGAGGTTCCCAGGAGTTCATACCAATCATTTTTGAAACTTGAAGCATCCCAGCACGTGCCAACCAAGTTGCTCAGGTTTGGTAACTTTTTTTTTAATTTAAAACTCTTAATTAGTGCAATATGAATTGTTTTTAAGCATTCACATATGTTCATAATCATGTTTAGAATGTTTTTGAACCATTAACTTTAAGGTTTAGTGCAGGAACAACGAAATGCCATTGTTAGGGCTCGGAGCTCTCACATTTTTGAAACCCTAGATACAAGCATTTTTAGTCTAAACTAACACCATCATTTAACTCACAACATGCTAATTATTGGATCAGGGTTATTGGTTTTCTTTTTTTGATCGATTTTGACAGGTTTTGAAAAATCCCTCATCGGGGACGATGGTGGAAACCACCATGCACGGTGGTCAAGGGTTTTGAGGGGAGGCGTTGACTCCTGCATGGCCAATCCTCTCAATATGATTGGTGGATTCAAATTTCTATGGCCCCACCATAACACGCGTTTTCTGATTTTATTTTAATTTGATTTCTTGATTTCAATCTATATTATATTGAATTATGACGATTATATGAACGTGAAACACAGATGGCGTAGTGGTGAGTGATACATTTATTATTGCAAAGGGCGTGGGTTCAATTCTAGCTTTTGTCAAATATTTTTTCTATTTTCAGGTTTCAACGTAGGTTAATACCAAAGTGATTGGTTCTCTATCTCAATCACAAATAGCATCATGGCGTAGTGGTAGGAGGGCATGCCTTTGAGATCAGGGGCGTGGGTTCAACTCCCACCCCATGCATATTTGTTTTCCTTATTTTCTAACCCTATTTTCATTCCATTTTCTTAATTAATTAACCTATTTTCTAAACTAACTATTAACCATAAATTTTTTTTTTCCAAAACTATACAAATTAGGATTAGGTTTTCTAGTTAGTATTTAATTTCTTGACATGTTTTATTTATTGATTTATTAATTATATGAATTTTTCTCAATATTAAAATTAATTATAAATAATTAGGTTTTAATTACTATTTATTAACCTAAATTATTTTCTACAAAAAACATAAAAACATAAAAACACCTTTTTCTAATATTTTTCTTATTTCCTTTTTTATTTAATTTTCCTAGAACAAATGTATAGGTCGCAGTCTCAAATTTAATAGCTTAGATTTATATTCCCGTATTTTTTTCTAATTATGTAACTGCTCACAGGATGTAATAGCTTAGGTTTAATTTTCCGCACTTTACATTCCGCACTTTAATCTTCTGTATATATCTAACTGTTAGGGTTTGTATGGCAAGACTAAAATCAATCTAAAAAACCCTAATTCCCAAGATTAAATAATTGAATTAAAACACTTTGCACCTCTAGAGTAACCTCTCTTGTTGCCTTACGAAACATTGGTCATGTCCCTAGAAAGTGAGGATACTTTAGCAAAAGACCCTAGATTTAACAATATCATCATGGTCCCTTTTGAATAAAGATCATAGTCCCTCGATGACCCTCTGTTACCTTTGAAAATCTTAAGGAATTCAAGTACATGTGATAAATGAAAATATTCTCATAAGTTAAGAGTCATCCTCCAAAATAAGGGTTTTTTGGGAAACAGGAGTCAATGTGTGAAAAGTTGGTTTTATTAAGTCAGAGTTAATGCTTGGAGGAGCCACATTGAAACTGTCGAAAATTGAATCACGTTGACTAGGAAGAAATAATAGAATATGTCAGGAGGATCGAATTGGTTTAGTCGACCAAAAGGGTAAAAGAGAAGGACTTGTTCAAAGATGGTATTAGTCGACAAAGAAGGTTCTCTTGGACTTAGAGAAAGCGTGATTATTTTTTTCCAAAAAGAAAGCGTCGAAGCAAGGCAGAGGCGGTTTATGTTCAAGAAGCTTAAAGGAAACGTGGGCAGTTACCAACAACCCACGACATGTTCAAGCGCCAAATAAGTGGAACTTCAAAATTATGAGTAGTTACTAGCAATCCACAACGTGTTTTAGGGCCAAAGAGGTGGCAGCATCTAGTGAAGCAGTTACCTCAAGATGTTAATATTAGTTGTAGATTTTATCTAGGTAGTTACTTTGTAAACACTATAAATAGGCAGATTTTGTGTAGTTTGGGTGTGTTCACTTGTACTCTCAAATCACTTGTCAAACTCTCTCATTCCAATCGTCAGGAAATCAAGAGTGAAGAGTGCTTGATATACGTGAATCACCATCTTCATTTCAATGCAAATCTTTTATTTTTGAGTTATATCTTTTGAGTGTTTTATCTGTTTTCTCTTTTCTGTCGAGCAAGATATATACGTTATCTTCTATTTTGTATGAACAATTAGACACTATATGTGGGTCACGAGTCAACTGTCAGTTAGTTTAGTGAGTCTTGTTTTTGTACGAATATCTTCTGTCAGTCACGAGTTACCAGGCAGTCGATTAAACCATAGTGTGGAAAACCATTGCACTCGTTTCTCCAGTCAAAAGAAAGTTGTTTCCCTTGACTGATATTTCAATGGAATAGGTGTGATAACAAAAAACTCTTAGCACGCGTCTTGAGATCAACTGGTCGGTCTTGCAAGTTACCCTCAGTTTAGGACTTTGGGAGGACCAGCCGTTGTTTACCATTTTCCACAGTAAACAAATTGGCAAACCTGGTGGGACCCAGTGCTAAGAATTGGTCTTGAGTATTTATAAGTG